TAGACCAAATAAGATTGAACTCAGTATTTTCAAGTTTTTAACGCAATCTTTGATACTATGAAATACCTATTTCACCGTAATTTCTTCGATACAGGGTGTRATTGACATCCCAAAGGAGGTGACCAAACTAGAAAGCAAGAAAGAAAGCCTCAAGCAAACACTCCAAAAACTCATYGAAGCTACTCAAATACCTGATTATCAGACGAAGGTACCTGAAAAGGTACAACAGCAAAATACAGACAAGGTAATGAACAATGCAGTCAGATACTACAAATCATTCCATATAACTTTTCAAATTTCAACGAAAAATCGAAAACTTTCCCCCGTTTTGGACGTTAATTCGGGGTTAATTCTTACAAGTGGTAGTAATTGTCCTTTCGGACAAAGTTTTAACCCGAAAAGCAGCTTAAAGCAAACTTTAAAGATATTTATTTTTCGTATTTCTCTCTTTCAGATAAGTCAAACGGAGACTGAACTACAGAAGCTGGAAAAAGCGCTCGAATCACTAAAAATGGCGGAATAAATTACTGGATATGAACGTCCAGATTGCCTGTCACAATTTCACACTTATTTAAATAGAATTATTATAAGTAATAAAGTAATGAGGAACTCATGAAGTCTTGTTATACTATCTTTCTGTAGTTTTTTTTATGTAGATAGCAGCCGCCATGTTTTGAAATCATGCAAAATAGATGAATAAGTTGAAAATATTTGATAAGTAAATACTATTTTTATTCATATATTTTTTATTTTYTTAATTCTATTCAAGCTATTTTCATGTGGTAATAATACTTCAGATAATTCTTTTTATCAAAATACATCTAGAAAATACCGTCAATTTATGATAATTTAAAAGTTTCAATGACAGACTAGTTTCCTAAATAGTCRCGCAATTTCCCTTCTCTTGTCCCGCTAGAGGTGACTACAGTCCCGCTGCTCGCGTCCTAAATACTATTAAATATTTATACTTAAAAATAAACGATTAAACACCCCTAAAATCCTATAAATTTGTCTGTTCATAGACATTAATTATTAAAATCATTAATCTATTTCATTCATATCAATTATCATTCAATTATTTTGGATTCACTTTACTTTTACGCCTAAAATTATTATTATTTAATATCTTTCATTCTTTGGAAGTTTGTAGCCGGTACAAATGAAAATTTCTCTGCCAATAATAAGTTACTAGACTAATAAATATAGAAGTTGGAACTTCACGACTGTTCACGGAAGTCAAATCCAATGACTGAGGGGGGAGGGGAGGGAATACTTTGACATCGCGTTGATTCATGTGCGCAATCCACAGTTAGAAATCTCCACGAAGTTTCAACGCTCCACGGGATCAGTTACGTCTCCACTGAATCACTAAACACAAGACGAGACTGAAAAATAAGACATTGGGTATTATTATAGCTGAACGTATATGGAGTGATTAAATGTGGAACCAGGGAATGGGTTATTTTGCGAATCATGATATTTTGGGCTGGGAGATTTAGAGTTGGGACTTTCACGCTTTTTGCCAATCCCCGCGTTACGTTTTCTTTCTTTTTTTTTCACTCGTAAAAAGAACTCGCGCGCGTATTTAGTAAACTTATGTGACGGTCTCTTCACTTACGCTTTCTTCATAGTTAGCTATGTCGTCATTATCTTGTAAAGTACTAAATCGAATTGTACCGTCCAGTAGCATGGATGGTAACCTCCCAATACCACGTGACTGATGRCGTAAACCAAGTGCCTTTTCGTCGAACTCACTCTCGTCCTTCTGTTGGCTCGCGAAGTTGACGAAAACCTTATAACAAAGAAAGAATCACATGTTATTATACACACATGTGTTGGAATCAGTGTACAAAAGCAATCGTCTTACGTTGTCAAGAGTCGTCTGGCTGACAGAGTAATCCTCGATACCCAATGCATCCTGGGAAGACTCGATCAGTCCGAACAGTTTCGATAAACTGACAATACCCGAGGGGATCTGGTACTGAAGCATGTTATGGTGGTACTCCTGCAACGAAATGAAATATTGAAATATAGGTTTGGCTAGTAATCATCATCATCATTATCATTATCATTATCATCATCATTATCATCATCATCATCACCATTATCATCATCATTATCATCATCATCATTATTATCACCATTATTATCATCATTATTATCATCATCATCATCACCATTATCATCATCATTATTATCATCATCATTATTATCACCATTATTATCATCATTATTATCATCACCATTATCATCACAATTATCATCATCATTATCATTATCATTATCATCATACATTTTCAAATAGTGTGTGCTCAATACCTTCAGAACAGCTTGTGGGATGTGTTCGATGAAGAAATCCATGACCGGCTGCATATCGGGGAAATCTCCTTGGATGCGAAGTTGAACGATATARCCCTCGCCGAACCTAATCACAGAGTAATATTCGTTGAAACTACGGTTATATTTTATAAAAGAAAATGAAAAAATCYGGATGTTTACTTATGGTTTGGTAGAAATTATTGACGAAAATT